AAGAGTGGCTACAGGGGCGCCTGGCCGGTTCAGTGGGTAGAGCATGTAACTCTTAATCTCAGGGTGGTTGAGTCCAAGCTCCACACTGGGTGTGGAGCATCCTTAAAATAAAAAAATAAAGGGGCACCTAACTGGCTCAGTTGGCTGAGCATCCAATTCTCGATTTTGCTTCAGGTCATGATCTCACAGTTTGTGAGATCAAACCCCGTGTCGGGCTCCGTGCTGGCAGCACGGAGCCTGCTTGGGATTCATTCTCTGCCTCTCTCCGGCTCAAATGCTCTCAATATAAACTAAAAAAAATTTTTTTTAATTAAAAAAAAGAAAAAGCTACAGCCCTACTTCCCTCAGTTATCTATCCCTGAAATAAACCTAACCACCAAGCCTGAGCTCCTGTAAATAGACACCATCAATTACCTGGTGACAGCTACCAGACGTGAAGGCAAAATGCCTCAGAGGAACTGAAAGTCTTCCAAAAATTCGCTTTGCCATCTTTAACCCTTCTTAGTAATAGAAATGTCAAAACTGCTTTTTTTTCTTTCTTTTTAGGTCTGGTTTTTAAAACCGAACATACTGCAAACTTACCGAAGCTAAAAAATCAAGTCAAGTTGTCTAGGGCTGGCTCCTGCTGTGGAAAGAGCACTGAACTGGGAGTCTGGACACCTGCATTCCAGTCGTAGCTCAAGCACAGACTAACGGTGTGGCTCTGAATGAGTCGCTTCTACTTTCTGTGCTCAGTTTATTCTATAAAAGTATAGAGTTGAACAGATGATATCTTGGTCTATTTTACCTCTGAAATTTTCACTTCAACATCTAAAGAAATGAAAAGCATTATCATGCTGTCATGTGCACAAGATCCCCCAGAAAACTAGAGTTCAAACCACACACACTTGTGGGATTCTTTTACCTTGCAGGCGTGATGATTACACAACTTCACAAAGGAAAACAAACACGGATAAAGTACCAAAGGAACCGCTCCGGGGGGAGCGCTCAGAGGAAGGGAAACTGATGTTGTCTTTACCTTCCCAGGCCACACTGCCCTCCAAGATGAGCCCCAGCTCAGCCTGAGCACCGCGTTCTGAACATCATCATGAGCAAAAGTGAAACAAATCAAACACTTCCTACAATACTCTGAAGTTCTTCCTACTACTATACCTTTTCGAATTCCCAAACAATCAGGTAAATTTTTTTTAACTACTGGTAAAAGCTGCCATGCACTTACTACTATACTTGCATCAGTTACAAAGTGTCGGTCAAATCTGGCCCGCAGCCTGTTTTTGTACAGCCCTTGAACTAAGAGAAGGTCCACATGCTTATGTAATTAAAAAAATTAAAAATATTTGTTGACAAGTGAAAATGATATGAAATTCCAATTTCAGTGCCTATCAAGTTTTATTAGAATGCAGTCATGCTCATTTGTTTTGTCTATGGCTGCTTTCTTGCTATGACAGAGCACAGGAGCAGCAGAAGTCTCAAACATGTTCCATCTGGCCCCTGATGGAAAACGTTTGTGACCCATAAGTTACACTACAACATGTATACCCACATCATTCTAATCAAACTTCCAAGGGTTATTCGATTATAAAGGACTTAAAGGTAAACCATGAATAGGGAAATCCTGAAAAAGCAAAAAATGATCATGTGGAATTTGGAGTTTTCAATGGACAGAGATAATGCTGGCAGTGCCCTCCTGGGAGTGTGCATCCAACATACGGCTTTCAAACCCAGAATGAATGACAGCCCCTCGATCTCCCTGACTTCTGCCACTGTCTAAAAGAAGATGAGAAAATCTACAGAGCAAAATAGTATCATTGGAAAATACATCCAGGAACCAGAAAGGGGCTATGAAGTTAGGAAGTGTTTCCTGATGTCAAAATCTTGCTTTCTGATAAACATGTCCATACTTTCTGAGCCAAAAATAACTGGGGAAAAATGGTCTGAATAGTCTGTGTGTGCCCTGGGAGTTTCTGAACTTGGGATGCACTAAAGAAACGTGAGATTTGTTAACTGTGATGCTCACAGGTCGAGACTTCCATAGAGCCGAGGCTCAAACAGGTTAACAGACGTTCCTTCTGACGGACTTTTGATAAACGGAGTTAAAAAGACAAGAATTACTTAAAAACTTAGAGGTTTTAACAAGTGGGTTACTGGGACTGCGAAATCTGGGGATCAGGGTTTCTGGAACGGTGAGGCTACCTGCCTGGAGCACTGTCATGCCATAAACATTAAATAAATTTAGTATCTTGATGTCCTATTTTGCAAGAAGTATCTAGTCCCCCATCAGCTTCTTAAAAACACATGGACTATTAAAATTTGAAGGATAATGGCAAATAAATGTGTTAATGACAACTAGGTCACATACTCAGTTTTAAGACTTGCACATATATTCTAGGGGCGCCTGGGTGGCGCAGTCGGTTAAGCGTCCGACTTCAGCCAGGTCACGATCTTGCGGTCCGTGAGTTCGAGCCCCGCGTCAGGCTCTGGGCTGATGGCTCAGAGCCTGGAGCCTGTTTCCGATTCTGTGTCTCCCTCTCTCTCTGCCCCTCCCCTGTTCATGCTCTGTCTCTCTCTGTCCCAAAAATAAATAAAAAAAACGTTGAAAAAAAAATTAAAAAAAAAAAAAAGACTTGCACATATATTCTAAAGACACTTTTATATGGCTTTTTGCTAGTACAACTCAGACAAAAGGGGCACCAAAGCTAAGACCAGTTGCATTCACAGGGCCTATTCAGGAAAGATTGATGCTCTACCCTGGGTTTGAGCACTCACCTCTTCTCCCCCTGCTCTTCTTTATTCAGGTGCCTTCCCTCAGGTCAGAAAAATTCTCATTTCATTCAGGACTGGCTCATCAGCGGGTCTCCTCTTTGGTGCCTTCCCCTGAAGGGTGATATATTGATATGCACAGATCTCCGCAGCCTTCCTACTTCTTTCACAGGCCAATATGTGTCCCCCAAACTCCTAACATCAGAACTCACTCCTACTGTAGCACTTATGAGCTCCAACAATGTGGGACATGAATCGTTTTTTGGTCAAATGTGCAAGAGAAAGACATGAATGGCAAAAGCAACAGACCCAAGAGGCGCCTGGGTGGCTCAGTCAGTTGAGCGTCCAACTTCAGCTCAGGTCACAATCTTGTGGCTCATGAGTTCGAGCCCCATGTCAGGTTCTGTGCTGGCAACTCAGAGCCTGGAGCCTGCTTCGGCTTCTGTGTCTCCCTCTCTCTCTCTGCCCCTCCCCCGCTCACGCTGCGTCTCTCTCAAAAATGAATAAACATCAAAAATAAAAATAAAAAACGAAGCAACAGACCCTTGATGTGCTAAGTAAGGCTACAAACCTTCACAGTGATATTTCTTCACACGACTGCCTCACTACTCATTAAGCTATTGCAGCAAGCAGCCTGAGCTGTCCGTTTAGGAGACAATGCAGTTGGTCCAAAGTGAAAGAAAGGTAGCCTTTGAATCCTCAAGTTCCTATTTTCCTCATTTTCCCTTAGTGCTCTTATAGCTCCCGTCCTCTGAGAGTAAATCACGAAAGCCAGAAGGAGCCTACTACTAGATCTATTCACATACTTCCCCACATTGACTAGTCTCTAGAGTGAACGTGAAATGGAGGAAATGCGTGCGTGAGCCTGTTGTTCCGGAGGAGAAACCAGGGGGCACTGCCGTGCACATCTGCCCCACCTGGACTGGCTGACAGTACTGGGAGGCTGGAGGCTCCGAGCGGGGAGACGTGGCAACAACAGGGGAGAGGGGGTGGCCGCCAGCCTCCTTGTCAGTCAGACACTTAAGCTTCAAACGAGAAAGATTAAGAGAGAAAAGCCTAAATATATCAACGTCACTTCTCACGTCTTGGCAAACCACGTTCTTTCCTCTGTTTCTCACAAACACATCAATCCATAAGGCGTATCCCTTTAAAATAATATTTCAGTCTGAACAGGGAAGAACTTGGAAGCAAAGAATGGTCTCTGGAAGCCGTGTAACTGATGAAAATGTATTTGGTAAATAGGAGACTTCTGAAAATGAGGAGTCACCAGATTTTTGCTTAATTTTTCCTTTCCTCAAAATTTTTTTTAAAATTTTTAATGTTCATTTTTTGAGGGGGGGGAGGGAGGGGGACAGAGAGAGAGAGAGAGAGAGAGAGAGAGAGCGCGCGTGTGCGCAAGAGCAAGCCAGGGAGGGACAGAGAGAGGGAGAGAGAAATCCCAAGCAGGCTCCACACAGTCAGCACGGAGCCTGACTCAGGGCCTAAACTCATGAACCATGAGATCATGACTTGAGCTGAAATCAAGAGTTGGAGCTCAGATGACTGAGCCACCCAGGCGCCCCTTCTTTCCTCACATCTTGAGTGGAAATGGGGAGTGGGAGGGCGGGGAGGGGGAAGGGAAGTATGTAGCTAAGTATGGCACATATTATCTTACAAGTGTATAGCTAGTAATTTCTGCTGTTACCAGCTGCTCAGGGAGTGTGATGTTTATTGAGAGACAGAGAGAGAGATAGGGCACAAGCAGGGGCAGGAGAGGGGCAGAGAGATAGGGAGACACAGAAACTGAAGCAGGCTCCAGGCTCTGAGCTGTCAGCACAGAGCCCGACGTGGGGCTTGAACTCACGAACTGTGACATCATGACCTGAGCTGAAGTCAGAGGCTCAACCGACTGAGCCACCCAGGCACCGCCGGGAGTGTGATGTTTAGAGAAAATGTTCATCACAACAGCAAAGAGGAAAAAAATCCATGTTAGAGGAGCAGATAAACATGTAAGTCACAGCAGAAACCACGTTAGTTAGGTACGTGCAGGAGAAAACAACTGGCCTTCTCAGAGAATAGATTTGCCCACAACTTTAAGATAGACCTCCTCTCATATAATACAAATCATACTTGTCTTCTTTCCTCACGACTATTATCTTCTTGAACAAAAAAATAATTTTCAAGGTGAGAAAGACAGAAACCAGAGGACTGCATTCACATCTGTGCAAAATATTTACTCCAGAAGACAAAAAAACTCAAGATCACGGTACACAGCAGTTATTTATTTAAATACTTGAAAAGTTCGATGATGGAAAAAAATAGGTTTATCATGAGAGTTTATATTCATTAGATTTACTTTACCATTTACAAAAGTGCTGCTTCTAGGTTATCCTAGCCGGATGGAGAACGGTATGACACATGCAGCTATTGTTAAGACACTAGAACAGACACAGCCACTAGAGAATGATGTACACACTTTGGGAAGAAATTCCATAGTAGGAATGGTGACTGTTTATTTAAACTAAAAACATTGATAATATACAAATCTTTTTTTCTCATTTGATTGAAAGGGCTATAAAATTCAACATACAGACAAAGGAAGCAACATAATCATATAGGCAACGCCTCTGCTAATTGCCAGGAACTCACTCCTTCCTTAAAGAAGCACTTCAACACTCAGCTATGCAATTTTCTAGACTGCACGATGGCTTCAAGGCTGACCTACCATGAGTGGCTGAAGGAGAAGTGTAAGCTGACATGACTCATCTGTTTTTAAAAATGGAGAGAAAATGGCCAATTGTGCCTCGTGTTCTTTGAAGAACCCAGAGGGATCATTCTAAGTAAAATGTGAAATAAATAAGTAATCCATGAGTAAATACAATCTCTGAGCTTAGACCTAGGAGAATGAGCCAACTGAACACTAACAATACCATGTAGAAACGTCTAGAAACATCATTTCTAGAATTCAGTGTGGGAGACCATATCTTGCCTGAATATGTACATTATTTACAAAATATTCCCTTTTGGCCTCTGAAATTTAGCCATTTTAGTTTGGCTGTTAAGCTGTTTCTTTCCAATGCTAGTCAATACTGCAGTTATAACTATCATTAAAATACTCTTATGCATGAATTACAAATATTAATAAAGTAACTCTGCATGTATAAATATCTCAATATTTCTAGCAGAATTTAAAGCATACATAAATACATAAAAGTATTTGTTTTTGGTGGGGCCAGTATTTTTTTTTTTTTTAATCATCGCTGTTTCAACAATGCTCTGTACATTGCAAAACCCAAAACTGCAAAAACAGTAGCACCAAAACTTGCTCGAAGCCAAAACGTGGAGCTCTTGAGGTCAGCTTGTGTCACGTGCCTGTAGTTAGAAAATATAATTAATGTTCAAAACATGATTAGTATGAAAATACCAATTATATGAACAGTCTACTTTTAGGGAAGTATTAGCACACTTGTCAGGCTAATTGCATACAGTAAGGCTTACCGAAATCATTTATCCCTGTAGCCACATGTACATTGTTTATATCATCATTATCTTACGATATAATGTAGACATTAATAAAGACAAATGTCTTTACAACTAGCTACTATCTGGGAGTAATAAACATCTAAAATTGTGTGTTTTCTTCACATGGGAAATGGAGAACATAGACAAATCAACCTACCGGTTTTTAATACCACCACAGTCCTTCAAAATGAGAGGTAAAACTGAGATCTCACAATTTTGAGAGTCAATTTCATGGGACTTAATATACAATCTCCTGTCCCTGGGAATTGAAAGCTATCTTGTAAGCAGTTAAGCGACAAGTGACAATACTTTTCTAAGAGCATTGCTTAAAATCAACTTTGGGAACACTGAGCCCCATAAAAGTTTACCAAAAAAATCCCAAAGGGGATGGGGAAGGTTTACCAGCTCACATTAATCTGGTTACTGCTGATTAAAGAAAGAAAATTTAAAAAAACAACAACAAACAAAAACAACCCTGATTATTAGACAGGCAGTGACAATGGTACCAACCAAAGGACATAATGAAACAAGATGGACTGAAAGGTAAATGACGTAAAAGAAGCCATATTGTGCATGACAAGAACAGGGACAGCCTGTACCACAAACTGAGTTTGTGAGCATGCTCAGTTAATAACACTGCTAAGCACCGTCAAGAGTCTCAAGTATGACAGCTTACCATAGAGAGGATAAAGCTTTAAAGCAAAGGCTGGAATATTTTATTCAAGTATCACTGAACTTGAGTTAACTGAACACAATTGAGGAGATACAGAGAATTTAGAGAATTAGGAGTTTAGAGAGGCTGTCTAGTTTAGGTTATTTTACAACTAAGTGAAACAAACAGATTTGAAGCAAAAGTCAGACATCATTAAAAGACCAAGACACTGACATATGCAAAAGAGTTAAGAGCCAAGAATATCAATTGTACAAAACTACTTTGCCTCAGCAATAGTCAAAGGGTGACAATCAGATTAGTTATCACAAAATGCAACCTGCGCATCTCTAGAAACAGTCTGTAATACAAGCCAGAGTGCTCCATGCTTATCACCATGGCAACACAACACACAGCACTCCCATTTCTTATCCTCCCCAGTTCCTAAAAAATAAAAATAAAAATCACTCCTGACATAAGTATTATTTTACAAAGCAAAGTGGTAACACAGGTTCATTCCACCTTGTGAGTTAGTTCTTCCAACAGGCAATGCTTAATTATTTATTTTAAGTTAGGGGAAGAAAATTCTTCGGTTTCAGTTTTTCCAGTTGGAAAAACTCCACCGAGGCCAACCCGCTGGTTGGGGGAAATGTTACCTGGCTTCAAGAAAAAGTGGACCATGAGATGACTCCATGAAGATGGAATCTTCTACAGAGCTGACGGCGTGCACCTGGTGAGTAATACTGCCTTCGTCGTCTGCTAACAGCATGGCACCCCACTCAGCTACCCGGGCTCTTAACCTTTTATATACACATGCACACAATTTGCAGTTCACAGCAGAGCTCACAAAAGTGGGGGACTGAAAATAACATCTCTCAATTAAACATCGCACACACAAATTGAGTCGCCACCATAATAGGATGCATCTCATGCTTTCTATATTTAAATAAATATATCCTGTAACAAATTGCCCAACTTAAAAAAAACACCTATCTATGTGTACTTTTTAAAAACACTCACGTACCAGGCAAGGAAACCTAAGGCGGTTATATACAGTATCTATATATCCCTTAGAGGCTGGTCTTGGTTGACCCAAAACACTAAGGGAAGCCCTTGAAAGCAATACCAAAAGCAGTATCTGACAGTTATGTGGTGACCGTAAGTATTCATTCAAAATGAGGCTAACAGCTATTAGTCATGAAATTTACTGAGGCTTCTAATTGCAGACTACCAACAACTGCAAACATGCATCTGTAAAAAATCAGGTCCAACATCCCAAACTCATAGACTGTAACAGACCTACAATGAGAGTTTCAAAGTGCCTAATTCCAAATCAATTAGAGATGCACAGAATTTAAAGTGAGAACACTGGCTACAAGTGCATTAGAGCTTCTGCTTCAGCTTTGGGCTCTCTGTGATTTTTTATTCATCTTTACTGATGGAGGATTAAAAAATGTTTACATTCATTTTTTAACCTGGGCAAGAGAGGGGTTAGTATTAAAGCTAGCTGCCATCACATTAAAATCAGTCACAATGATTTCTCATAAACATTTTTTCAAGTATGGAATCTGTTTTCACACAGCTCCTTTTTTTGTATTTTAAGAAAGTATTCCCTACCATTCATGACATAATATATTCTGACTTTACTGCTTGGTTTACTTTTGCATGTCAGATAGTAATTATAGTGATTATTATTTTCCCCCAACTATAGTATAGCCTCCAACAGGCAGAACAGCAGTTCATACTCCTGTATGACAAATAATATAGATACATACTCTAGATACAGCTAGTTTAAAACTTAAGGCAACTATTAACTCATAAAATATGCTTCAATGACTCCATAACGTTATAGTGGTTATTTAAGACACTTTTAGACATGAAAAGCTACTTAGACACCCATTTTACGCCTTTAGCATGTGCTTTTAACAGCTGCCCTAAGCAGGCTCTCCATCTAGGAGAAAGCATTTATACCGGATGGCACATTTGTCGTTGATTAGCTGACTGACAACACCTGACTAGAGAACAGTGTGAAGATCTGAACTGTATTCCAGAGTTATCAGCACTGGACCACATTTGTCATTTCAGGTCTCAAGCAGAAACGGAGTAACGGTTTCAGAGAGTTGCTTCCTACTTCATTTCTAAACTCAAGAAAAAATAATCCTTCCACAATTCAAAAGTGTAATCCTTTCAAACTGACTCACCTAAAATATCATCTTAGAATAAATTATAATATCTTATGGCATACTTTTTCTTTCTTTTTAAAGTTTATTATTTTTTTTACTGTCAAAATACAATATATGTTCATGATAAGATACGAGGAAAATAAAAGAAGGAAGAAAAAAATCACCTAGAGTCCCATCACTTGAAGCAACTGATTAAAATTTAGGGTACTTTCTTTTAGATTTTTTTCTGTGTGCTTCTTACATTGCTGCAAATACAATATGTATAATTTATATACTTTTACATCCTTTCTATAAGGACTTTTTCATAATTCCAGAAACATCATTTTAGACAGCTTTATTATACTCCATTCCTATGGGTGGCCACCTCCACTATGAAGTGATCAATATCCTTCCATGTAAGATTTTTCTCCATATTTAGTGGTTTCCTTAGGACAGACTTCCCAAAAATGAGTATTACAGGGTCAAAAATGAGTGTGCATTTGTGTGTATAAAGATTCTTTTTTAAAAAAATTTTTTTTTCAATGTTTATTTATTTTTGGGACAGAGAGAGACAGAGCATGAACAGGGGAGGGGCAGAGAGAGAGGGAGACACAGAATCGGAAACAGGCTCCAGGCTCTGAGCCATCAGCCCAGAGCCTGACGCGGGGCTTGAACTCACGGAGCGCGAGATTGTGACCTGGCTGAAGTCGGACGCTTAACCGACTGCGCCACCCAGGCGCCCCTAAAGATTCTTTTTAAAAATACCTACTGATGTACCAGAATCACATTTTCCTTCTCTGCGTGGAATAATTTAGTTCAGCAGTATCTCTTTTTAGAATGTAAGAAATAATTACTAAATACTAGAATATAACTTAGTTAATCATTTGAAGCTTGTCAGAGCTTCTAAGTTCTTAGGTGGAAAATTCCTGCATATTGGATGCTGGCTTTCTGCTTAGAAGTGCTGAGGGCTCATATGTCAATCAGATGACAAGTGCTACTTTTTCTTTTTCTTTTTTCTTTTTTTTAACGTAGGCTCCACACCCATTGTGGGCTTGAACTCACAGCCCTGAGATCAAGAGTCACACACTCCACTGGCTAAGCCAGCCAGGCCCTGCTACTTAATAAGGCAAAGAGGAGGAAAGGTTTCAAACGTCAGACAATAAAGACTTAAATGAAGAGGTGTTTGTGTGAACAATCACATAAGGCATATAACAGAATGACCAAAATTCCTATGTATCTTTGCACAGAATGCCTTAAAGAAGGCATACAAGATACTTTTGATTCACTCTGCAATTTACTGCGTATATAAGAACATGAGGTGAAATCTTTATTGGTTCAATGTATTTAACCAATCAAAGGGAATGTTATCAGCTGCAATATTTAGGAACAAAACAATCAAACTCTAAAGGGCTCAATGGAATTAAACCCATTCTAGCTATTCCCAAATAGGGTACTTTTAATATTGTTTTTTATAACGTGTCATGGAACTTTACATCTGGGGCATAAAAACTCTATTGCAAAGACTTAAAGTCTGCAAAAATTAGAATTTAAGAAAAGGGGGGTGCCTGGGTGGCGCAGTCGGTTGGGCGTCTGACTTCAGCCAGGTCACGATCTCGCGGTCCGGGAGTTCGAGCCCCGCGTCGGGCTCTGGGCTGATGGCTCAGAGCCTGGAGCCTGTTTCCGATTCTGTGTCTCCCTCTCTCTCTGCCCCTCCCCCGTTCATGCTCTGTCTCTCTCTGTCCCAAAAATAAATAAACGTTGAAAAAAAAAAAAAAGAATTTAAGAAAAGGGGAGAATTCAGAAAGGTCAAGGTATCAATTAACCTTGCCTGGGATTGCAGGCTATTATGAGGTGGAAGGAAAAGTTCAGTAGAACACAGTCAAGAGCAGTAGCACTAGGAGATCTACAGGAAGAGCAGTTCCAGCCAAGTACTTCTCAGCACTCCCATACAGCTTTTCAGAAATAAGTGTGGATTTCCTAGCTTCTGTTTTTCTCATCTTACCGTCTGATCCTTTCCAAACCCAACTCAGAGGTGTACA